ATGTGAATGCTATCCTTTTTAGTATTACTTAGTCATTTCTGCGTTGTGTTATGTTTAGTACTAATATTACCAGTTGCTTTATTTTGTTTGTATTTTCTAGGCATATATTTTCTCGTGTCTTTATATATTAAGATTTTTGTTTCAGGTGTTTTCTTATGAACAGTAATACAATGGATTTGAGACCTTTTGTCTCAATCTGATTGTCTCGTTTTGGAGAAATTAACACATTCACATTCATTATGGTATTTGTTTTTAATACGTTTGGATTTGGGGATAGGGGAGAAGACAGAGAATAGGATTTATTCTTTCCTTTTTTCCCCTTTTGTGTCTTTAATACTGATCAAGTTTTCAGTATTTGCTCTCCACCCTCAGATGTAGAACTTCTGTTCCTCAGTCTTCCCTTCCCCTGAAATCATACAGGGCTAAAGACAACTCTTAAAATGACTTCCACAAAAACGCCGTAATTTAGCAATGTTTGGAGTCCTGCACTTGTGATCCTTTTCTCTCAGAGCTGTGTAAATGTTACTGTGCTAACACTCCTCTCCTCTCTCCCTCTCTTTCCAGATAATCATTGACTTGGAAACTTTAAGGACTTTCTTATCTTTGGAATTTATTTTTTTCTGTTAGTACCCAACTGTTTGTCCTTTATTTTTCTCCTAAGCTTTGGAAAAATTCTTGGCAAGTGTTATTTGCTAATTTTGTTTTTTGGAGCACTAATTCTACTATACATTGCTACTGTTGACTTTTTAGTTGGTCAATCAGACACTTTTCTCCATAATCTCTTGACTTCAGGTTGCTTCTTTCCCTTGGAAGCCTACTGTTTCTATTATTAATAAAGCATATTTTCCTTTTTTAAACATCTGATTGGAATACAATTAACATATAACTAACTGTATACTTAAAATACACAATTTGATGAATTTTGACATGTATATGAAGCTGTGACCCCTGAAACTTAGCACAATTAAGATGAGTGTATAGGGGCTGGGGATTTAGCTCAGCGGCACAGCACCTGCCTGGCAAGCACAAGGTCGTGAGCTCGATTCCTGGTACCGGAAAAAAACAAACAAAACAAAAAAAGATGAGTGTATAAACCCTGAGTTTCGTTTTGTTTTTCCTGTCCCTTGTCAACCACTGACCTTCTTTGTGTCACTACAGGTTAGTTTACATTTTCTAGAATTTTAAATAAATGAAATCATATGTTTTCGAAAAAAATTTCTAAATGAAAACTTCAAACATATAGAAAAGTAGAGAACAGTACAATGAACTACATTACATCCATCACCTGGACTTAACAATTATAACAGGCCTAATATGTGCCAAGGCCTCAATTTTCCAGTACCACAAAAAAAACCTTTTAGTATGTTTCAAAATATGTTTAATTTTTTAACCAAACTGTTCATTTAAAAAAAAAAAAAAAAAACAATAGACTTTATAAACCTAAGCAACAGTTTTAGGTTCATAGAAAAATTGAGCAGACTTACAGGAAGTTCACATATACTGTCTTTCTGCCTGCACAAATTTCCCTGTTGTTATTGTTACTGTCATTTTTTGTGGTGCTGAGATTGAACTCAGAGACTTGTGCATTCTAGGCAAGTGCTTGCGTCACTGAGGTACATCCTAGTCCTTCAATTTTTATTATTATTGTTACTATTATTAAGTAAGTTTTTAAATTCCCCAGGCTGCCTCCTGCCTCAGCTCCTAAGCAGCTGGGATGACAGGCAAGCACCATAGTGCTGAGTTGTCCCTATTATGAATGTCTTCATCGGTGTGGTGCTCTTTTGTTACAATTAACAAACAAAATCGATACAGTATTATTGACTAAAGTCCATAGTTTACATCAAGACTGGTTTTTGAATTGTATAGTTCTGTGTTTTAAATATGTACTTTTTTGGTCTGTTTTGGTTACTTTTATTTTGTATAATTGGGATTCATCCATGTTTTATGTACTCTCCTTTTTTGTTTCTTTTTTCCACAGTTGTTTATTCATTCACATGCACATTGGATTTTTTCTAATTTAGAGATAATGCAGATAAGGTAGCTGTCACAAGTTTTTGTGTACATCTATACTTTTATTTCTTTTGAGAATATGTCAGAGGATATGAGTGGGACATATGGTAGAAATATATTTAACTGAGAATTTGGAAAACCATTTTTCCAAGTGATCATACCATTTTTCTTTGGCACCAGCAGTATATGAGAGTTCTAGTAGCACCACATCCTTGTCAGCACTTAGGATTATCTCTCTTTAAATCATTCAAATAAGCATGTTTGATATCAATTTGTGGTTATAATTTGCATTTTTTAATAGTTATGTTGGGGCTGGGGATTTAGCTCAGCGGCAAAGCGCCTGCCTGGCAAGCGCAAGGTCGTGAGTTCGGTT